AGTATATATATATATATATATATATATATATATGGCTGTTTTCGTCCACACCCAAAACAAGCGTATCGCAGAGGCAAAAAAGTAAGAAAAAGCAACAGAAGCAGAATAGAAGGCAGGTAAGAACTCTGGCAGCAAACAGTAAAATTAACATTGTGCAGTGTGCGCCTGTTGGTGGCCTGGTCAATCCTATTTCAATAGTGTGAAAGAACACAAGAAAGAAAGATCACGGTTTGGCTCCACGTGCCCAGCATATTTCACTTCGGCAAATGCATATTCAGGACTTAGCCGCACACCAGCAAACGGAAAAACTCAAAAAGCATCTGTCATTGACAACCAGGCTCTCGGTATGAAACAACCAAGTGGAATTCTTTAGGGTCACGCAGTCGCCGATCCCCTCCGTGTAGCGGGTAGTGATAGTAACAATCGTAGTGGTGGTAGTGGTAGTGGTAGTGGTAGTAGTGGCTTAGGGCGTCAAAGCAAAAACAAAAGCAAAACAATAAAACTTTATTCGCTGCATTCTAACGCAGTCTTGTTGGGAACAAAAAACAGCTCAGCAATAAAGGCCCACGGAAGAAGTTCACACATTTTTGTTTTGAGTATCATCCAGTCGCACAATCCTTCTACAAGACTTAGAGCACAAAAAAGCCACACCTAAATTAACCACCCCACAGTAGGAAAGGTTTTTTAATGACTTTGAAGCACATGTAATGTAAGCGCACAGTGGTGCATCAATGCACATGTCAACATCCACGTCGATAAAATACATACATGTATAGGATTGCCGCATGTGAAACAAAAAAAAGAAAAGGAAAATAAAGTTACTCTCCTGATAAAACATTGAGGGCATTAACCAAGGCTTCTCCGATCAAAAAACAAGAAACAATAATGTTTTGTTAATGCAACGGAACAAAAGCAATGGACCCCGCGCACACATCCACAATGATGTGATGTATTTGTCCTCACTCCCACTTTGTTCATCAACCACACACATACACATACAGAGAAGAAAACCGAGGCACAGCCGCAAGAGCAAAGCATTTAATGTAAAGGAAGCGCAGAAGAAAATTAGATGTACGTACATCCGCAAGTATTTATTTGGCTACATTGAGGAACATTGTCCCTCCGCACTCACCTCCCTTGCAACTCTCAGTGGCCCATGCGTCGTTGCCTCACACAATAATAGAGGAGACAAACGCCACAAAACGCTCCGCGTATTCTCGGGGAGGAACAGAAGATATTTTCTTTGAGTCCTGTGCCAAACCCAAAAATGTAGTCTCCAAATACTTCCAAGCGTTATACCTCTGCAATATATCAATAATTCCAATGTAATATATTTCTCTCCGAGTTCCTGGTTGGTATGTGCTACGCATGCCACCTTCATCTGCAGTAAAGCATCGTCCATCAATGACAGGCTCGGGTGTAGAGACGTGGAGGCCGCCAGTTGTCCCATTCATCTGCCCATCCAAAACAACATTAGCTGCTGCACCGTCCAAGGCAAACACCTGAAACGGTAATGGACTAAATGGTAGGTTTTCTTTTACTCCTGTCGCACCACTTCCTACACTCCGTGGATCGGACGCTGGCAAGATATGAATTCCAACTAGAAACGAATAGTCCATGACGTGGGAGCGTTTCAAGAATTCACAGTCATTCTTAATTTGTTCAATAACTTGTGCCCTTCGCGCAGGACCCACATGTATAGGACGATTTAAATCAAGATCCTTTTGTGTGCAAGTCTGTTTCCTTTTTTCAGCTTCAGTTGCAAAACGTCCTACGGTGCTTCCCTTGAGATCATACTTTTCGTGTATGGCATTTCCTGTCGCAAAAACATTCTGCATTATAATAAAATTTATCTTTTCTCCAGCAATTTCAAGACGATGGTGTCCAACAAAATGCGGCAGAAGCGTGTGTGGGTTATCTAGTACAAAAAAGTAGTACCGATGTAAGATACTGCGTAAAAACTCACTTTCCTCTGTAGTCATGGTTTTTATAATCCAGTCCTTACCGCAGAAGAAAAGCTGTGCCGCCGACTTTCCAGGAGTAGGGGTGCTATGCCACCTACTTCGCATCAGTACCTCACAATAAGACATTGGGTCAATATTAAAAAATTCCCGTATGTGACGATAACACATCGGAGAGTAGTCAGTAAACTTAAAAGAAATTTGTGGGCCATCGTCGTCGTAATCATCCGTGTCACTATGAGCAAAGTCAGACTTGAAAGTTCCAGTCTCGTTAACAGACAACACTTTTGGAGTCCGATGCTTCACCGCGGGTACGCCACCGCAGCAGCTGATGGCCGATCCACCTTTGCTTTTTGCCTTAGCTTCGATGGTTATCTCAATTGTGAAGTCTTTCTTCGGATTCAGCGCTCGCTGTTTGGCCGGGTTAGAGATACTTTTGATACTCCGTCCCAGGGCCCATTTCATGCAGCGAATAATGTTGCGCGTTGACTCGTTTTGCTGCGGCATAGGGTCTCCTGGAGCATCAAATAACCCGCGTTCCCTCACTGCCTCATTGAAACTACCTCGCCTGGGTGTGCCATTAGAAGGGGATGAATCGGTCTCAAACGAGATGGAAGCAATAACCTCTCTGTTGTATGGCATCAACGAATACACTACTTAAATACGTGGAAGTCACGTCTAACCGGACTGCCATCTATCGATCAAACACAAAACAAAAAAGTTAAAACGGGGGAAAAAATTTTTAAAAAGAAAAGTAAGAAAAAAAAACAATATTACATACATAGAAGACACTGCTACTTTCAGAAGCTCCCAAGGCATGAGTGCTTTTTTTTTGTTCACCCCTCTTTTTGGATGTTATAAAAATTTTTCTTAATGTTGGCTTCTTTTCAGGCAAAAGCTTCTTGCTGCCGCTGCTGTGTTTTTTTTTTTTTTTTGGTAGGAGGAGGGAGGGGGGGTTGTGCGTGTGTGACTCCTGCAGCGTGCAACAGCGTGTACACACGTTCACGTTTATTGAGGTGGGTGTAGCCGCCCCACGTAGGCCACCCACAGCACCGAATAGGCCATTTTTTCCCATTTTTACTATTTTGGCCCTAATTGAGAGTGAAGAACAACTTAACAACCACCGACAAGGTCCTTCCAAAGAGCGTGCTGGCACATAAATCCCCACGCGCTGCGAACATAATCTTCAGTCCCGTCTCTAGACAACACCAAACGGGCTAATGGCATATTAAGACCGTCGTCATGGATAACTACTGTGCGGCCGGATACCGTTGGCACACTCGCCGGGTGACTCCCTTCACGCTGACAAACATTCTTGAATAGAGTCACGTCCGTGCGTGCGGCACGTTCACAGCGAAAGAAGGAAAGACCGGCAGTCCAGACCGCCATTAGCAGCACATTTTGCGTCATCTCCGCTCCAGCTTTAAGTAAAAAAAAAGCCAACCTGACGGTAGCATGTGGTGCTTCTCCTGCAGCTCGTCCACCACGGCGCAGTAGGGCAAGTTAAGGGGTAATATAATGAGCAACATCTTCACTTATCAGAATGACATCAATAGGAACAAAAAGTGTCAGAATAGAACGCTTCTTGTTGCTAAGAACAGTATTACCCCTACTGGAAAATATGGCCCGCTCCAACTGCATCGTGGTGCGCTGATACGGTTTCCAGGCGTCATCTGTAACCTCTTTGCTTGCCTCGCACATAGACACCGTGTCCTGCGGGCTCATATGAACGAAGCGTACAACCGCCAACCAGCTTTGACTTGGCAGGTGCATACGTTGCCACTCCGTTAGCCCATCAACCCCATCCGCCAGACGCACCTCCAACGTGGCGAAGGGAATATACAAGAGGACGTTCAACAGAAAGCGAACGAGGTACGCATCCGATTGCCCTTGAGAACACACAACCGGCACAACGTGAACACTGTTGGAAAAATAATGTCGCACCTGCCGTTCAAAAACGCTTCTTTTCTGTAAAGAGAATTGCTTTAGCTCACTGAATAAAGGTATAACGGCGCCATAGCCGAGAACACAACGATTCACAACGGCGTTTAATGTAACCAAATCCCCTGAAGGAACGCGAAATCCCCCAGGAAGCGGGGCGCCTTGTTTACACCTGCCGACCAAAGCGTCGTCCACAACAAGACACACATCAAACAAGACGGTCTCAAATATAAATCGCTCAGCACCTGGAAGCCGTAGGTCAATACCCGCGATGGCCTCTCCGTACAATGTGTATAGTTTCTCCGGGGCAAAACCGGCCGCCCGTATAACGTTTCTTGGTACCCCATGATAACTTACAAAATCATCACGACCTAGCTTTACATCAGAATCCAACAGCACTAATAAGGGTGGGCCTTGCACCTGTTTCTTTGGCCTACGCCACAACGATTTACTCTGCGTCAACTCCACAATATGTGGGGAAAGGCATGGAAAAAGTAATGCAAGCTTTGACTGGTTCATATAAGAGACATTGCAATATAGCTTGTGTGTCCCGCAATGGTACACTGTGATCGATCACGCCTGCGCCACACAGTAAGATGTCACTGCATTTGACTTACCCTTGCCTCCAAATGATTCCTGCGCACACATGGCCATGTCTATGTTGCAACAAAGAACATCCCCCCTTCCACAGCAGACTCATGCCATGATTTATAGCTTTTAAACCAACGCAACGGTGGTGCGTGATCAAACGCAAATGCGTACCGTACACCTTTCTGAAAAAAAGTAACCACACGATCACCCTGTCACCCTGTTCCTTCGTGCGTGTGTCTGGCGTGGCGCGAAATCCCCAGCGATGCAGCGCCAGAAACAGTTGAATAAGGGCCTCTGGTCCACCCTTTCGAATGCCAACGTGAACCCACTAAAAAACAGCGGGATAGTAGTATGCAGCACCGCAGGACACACTCGCGCTTCCAAATCGTCACATGCAGCTCATTTAACCCGATTCACGCAACGCCCACTCGCCGCACACCAAGAGCAAACCATCGATGGGAGGCTCACATCGAGGGAGGTTCCCACGCGAGTATCGGGAAATAGGCAATCAAGACAACTGGTCGCACTGCTGCAGGCATCACCCTCTGGCTGACCGCTTGGCACTGGCGGCGGTGTATGTTTAACGCTACTGTCTTCGTCTGCGCCCTTCAGCAGCAGGCCCAGAATAAGGCACGAAAGAAACGCCAAGGTGGCACAACATCGCACGCACCTACTGAAGCATCTCCACAGCTTCATAGTGGTCTCAGTCTTGCCCTGACCATGGCCTGCATGCTACGCACTAACTCAAACAAGCTATCAATACAAGAGAGAGGAAAAGAGAATAAACAACTACAAAGAGAACACCAGTACAGGTGGGTCACCGCTGCGCATATGAACTCAGAGTGTGCCAAGAGATCCACCACATTACCACTGAAAACTCATTCTCCTCGTCCCGTTATAACAGCAGCAAGGGGGCAAACAGCAATAACCAAGACGAAGTATTCTTGCCTCTGTCCTCTTTTTTTTTCTTTATTGACACCCCCTCTCCTTCCATTTTTATGTTGCTCCTCTCATTCATCCTTTTCTCCGTTGTCCTCTCATCAGGGAATGGTGATACCCAAACGCGTATCATGGGATTTTTCCACTTCATGTGTTTCTTCTTCATCCTCTTTTTTCTTTCTATCTCTTTCTCTTCTTACAGATTACGAACCACCAGTCCGCTTGAGCTTATCCACCTTCGCCCTTTTGCGATTCGCACCCCCTGTACCGTACACCTGTCTAAGCGCGACAGCCTTCTCCTCGAGTTTCATCGTCTGACCCTTGGCTCCATCCTTTCCGTTTGCTTCTTTTTCTTTTATATCCTCCTCCGCCTCACACGCATCTCGATTGCCAACCGTCGTGTCCTCCTCTCCTCGCATTGCAACTTCTTCCGCATCCTCATTGTGGATATCATCCCCATGTGCCTTTTCATCTGACACAGTGCTTATAGCTTCACATTTCTCTGTTATCTCCGTGGTATCTCGTGAGCGCTTCTCCACCGTATTTGCCCGCATTAACGCCACCACCACATCGTGACCGGGAAGCGCGATGGTTGGAAGACGCTTGTCTCGAAAAACGGCAGCAAGGTTGCACATAGCTTTAAACCATGCAGAAGGCGCCGTAAGCTGCACCGCGGCAGTCTCCTCCTTCAGAAACGATGGACGTGGCCGCTGCTCTATGGACGGAAGCGTTCCTGTCATAGGACGATAAACACCAATCACACGTGGCATCGCCCCCACATTACGCAATGCAGGTTTAAGCTTTGTCTCGAACTCTGGCTTTTGTGCAATGGCATCATTGCCCACCGCATTTTTCACAAGCTGAACGAGCTTCATCACATTGGTGCGCACCACCATACTCACCGGGGTACAACATTTAAGAATGTCATTGGCAGAAGTCGGGAGTTTGGTAGCAATGCTCAACACAGCGGAAAGATGTAAAACAGCCGAAGGCGAATCATCAACCTCTCTGGCGGCGGCATCTCGCCAATTAAATACGTCTCGTGCCACCTGCATTTGTGTGGAAGACAACCCACCCAAGCTTCTCCCCAGGGCAATTTTATACGTTGCGTCAGGGTCTAGTTGTGGCTTCTCGTAAAGCTCCAGCGACAATCGACGGCTCTCATTCATCACGTGCACAAGCAGATTCCCTATTGAGGCCCGACCCTCGCTATTAAGAAGAAGCGTCTTTAACCGATCATATACGTATAGGAGGAAATGGGTATCCTGCCGGGCGTATGCCACCATTTCCGCTGGAATGGGTCTAATACGCCAATCTGCCGTTTGATACTTTTTGTTCAGTTTCACTTGACAAAAATGATCCACAGCAAAAGCTAAGCTGTGTGGCATGTGCAACACTTGCAGAGCTATCCCTGTATCAAAAAAATTCACAAGATAAAGTCCAAAGTCTTTCTGTAACCACCGAACGTCTTCGCGTGCTCCATGGAAGACTTTTAATATACTGGGACTCAAAAACACAGGTGCTAACAGATGCATCGACGAGCGCAATTTAAGACAATCAATCACGATATCTTCCCTCCGAGTACTGATCTGCATAAGACATGTAAAGCCCTGATAGGAGTAGAAATCATGATGCTCCAAATCCACTGCAATCTCCTTCTCCTTCAGGAGTGCAAGCACAACCTCCTCAAGGTCAGCCGTGGAATCCACAAAAAGAAGTGGACATGCAGCTAAAGGAAGATATGGCGTTTCTGCACAACCAATCAATTGCTCCTCAGGAATAGACAACTTTTTAATCACCTCCGCAAATGGGTGCACACCAGGCTGTGCCACATGCCGTTCACCCTTCTCATCGTAGTAAACAGGAGAAAACGGTGTGGGACGGTTGTCCACAGGTTGATCAAACGTCAGTTGCGGACGAACTACATAGTCACCCCCACCTACGGCAGAGGAAGAGATTTGCAGCTCAGAACCAAATGTTACAGATAGCTGCTCTTTTGCATTCAACCGCCTTCCTTTCAAATCATCCAGCAACCCATCAACATTCTCCAAAAGCGAATCCACCGCCTCCATGACCGCTGCGCGCCGCTGGTCTGTCAAAGTGTCCGTACCTTCCTGGAACGTCGTTCGCCGTTTTTCGGGAAGTAGCTGACAACATCTGTCCATGAACTCAACAAGTGAATCGCTGTGTCGACGGATTTGCTGCCTAAACCCAGGGAAGGCCATGTGGTAGTCATAGTCATCCAGTGGGAGTTCGCTCGCCAACTTACTATACTCTTTCACCAACCCAAAGGCCCCATTCACAATGTCCTTCGTCTGCGGAAGCTTGCCTGACATGCCACACGTCACCGGTCACGACACGTCCTCTTTTCCTTGTTTCTACTACTCATGCATACCACAAATGAAAAAAAAAGTTTTGGAAGATAAGATGGACAAGATGCATGCAACACTTTTTTTTTTTTCTGTGTTGTTGTCAGAATTATTCAACAAGATGGCAAACCCATAGAAACACACACAATAAGAAGAATCCTTTTAAAATACCGATCGTCTTCTCATAAAATACAAGCATTTTAACTCTACATCCCTTCTACATTATGACACATAAAATAGAGGAAAAAATACGGGATAGGCAAAAATCCCCTTCTTCTAAAGTGCAATTACTAAGAATATGCCTCGTTCTCCTTTAAAACATGACCGTAACAGCCACATCTTAACAATGACGGGTTGACTCCGCTGTGACTTTTCGCGCTTGCGCGATATACGGTTTAGTTTAAACCACAATTTTAACCACAAATTAGAAAAGAGACCCACGCAGCATCATTACCGTCACCGCTCCCCACCCCCTCCATCACTCACTGAAAAACAAAAAAATGAAATGAATGAGTGATAAAGAGTAAGGGGTAACAAAATAATAAAAGAGAGCTCCACCCTAAATAAGGACAGCCAACGTAATGCGCCACTACAAACTTTAAACACCTCCAACTGGCAACGTAAATGTGTTCAATCCATTTAAAAAAAAATTGCTTTGTATATCCCCTAACTTACTGGTCACTCATGTTAACACAAAGAAAAGGAGATACATTCATTTGGGTAAGCTGAGAAAGTCAGTCCAACAACAAACAAATCTTAGAGAACATTTTTAAGCTTTTCTGTGGATGAAGCAGCTTCATTACCGAGTTCCTGATGTATCGTGCATGATGGACCAATTCCCGGGCCGCGCTCCTGTGCCTTTGCATTATTAAAGACATTCGTGTAAGTGTAAATGAATCCCCCGCTAAGAGCCAAAAAAATGCCCACATAGCCAGTAAGGGTCGGAAACTGGTTGAACACAATCATCCCCATTATGGCCAGTGGAGCTTTGTTAACAGCACCAATGACGCTAAACGTGGTGGGTGACGTCTCCTTCATGCACCAAAAGACGGCGAAGGTCATCACGGACCCCGCAAAAACCATCAAAATGAGCGCAAAAACTGCGTCAAACGGGGCATTCGATAGTCCAGTGAGCATGTCAGGAAGAGACGTGATGAGTGCAGCCAAAATAAACGGCAGCGAAAGCAAATTGTTGTAGAACACAGGTCCATAACGTCCAATTTGGGCACTTACATCCCCCAAAAGCAATTTCATATACAGTGTGTAGCTTACTGTCGACACAATGTTGGCACAAGTCCAAAATACACCCCATGAGGTCACCCATTGGTCGCCTTTGGCTCCCAAATAACTGCCAAAAAACATAAGGCAAAAGGAGAAATACATAGGGGGCGTGACATGTTTGTTGAAAAACTTTGAATCCCCAAAGGCGGTAAAAATCACGGCAAGATTTTTGATAATCGTCTGCATGGATACGGACATTGTGTGAAGACTTTTCATGGATGTCCACAGCATGGCAACAAAAAGAAATGTAAGTGGAAGCCACTTCTTCGTTACCTCCATACTGAAGTCTGGATAATGAATCCAACGCATATACTTCCCAAATGACACAAGCAGCACCGCACCAGAGTTCTGAATGAAAAGCAGCCCCATAGGAAAGTTTAGCCCGTAAGTGAACATAACCAGTTTGTTCAAAATAATCATGCTCATGCTGCAGATGGAGTAAGCCAATATGGAGGCCAAAACCTCTGCAGTTTTCCCTCCCTTTTCTACCCTTTTCATGAACGAATATCGCAGTACACAGATAGCTATGAGCTATTCGCCAACAAGCCCGCAAAACGGGATCAACCCAGAGGGCAAGGCAGCAAAAAAAGAACAACAACATAAAACAAGAACGCAAAAGAAAAAGGGCATAGCATGACAGAGAAAACATTTCATTCTGTGTTTTAGTCAAGATTAAAACTCAAAAAAACAACAAGAAAAATCATGGTATTACCGTTAAGAGAGCATTCATAAACACAAAAGTGGTGACCTCGCCTTTCCATGTACAGTGGTGCGAGATAAAGAGAAAGAAGGAAAAACAAAAAGACAAAAGTAACAAAAAAAAGAACCACCATTGAAATACATATTTCTACGTATTTCAGAGCACTAATAACTTCCACGAGCTTCTCACAAGACAAACAAGACATGCACAAGACAAGAACACATTTGCATAAACCCAACTAATAAGAAAAAAAAAATGAAGTCACATACAAATGCGATCAAAATCCGTCCGAAAATAGCAGGCAACACAAAGAAAGCAAACGCTCGTCAAATGTGCGATATATTCAACGCGAGAAGTAATGCACCTTAGGCTATTGAGCTTTATCCTTGAAGCAAACGCAATGATATACGCACAAAAAAGCCAACTCCAGTGATAGAGATAAAGAAACCAGCACAAATGTATTCATAGAGGCACGCGTGCGTCTACCTTCCTTTCCCTCCTTCTCCAACTCTCTGCTCCTGCCCACCAGAAATCAACATCACAGAAAAAGACGAACAAATATATATAGTTGCTTTTATATACTTCGTTGCATGCATTTTATTTTAATTTCATTTCTTGTTGTAGCAATATTCCCTAACCCTAACCGCGCCATCTCTTCTTATTGCTGATTGCTCATTTCTTCTTTTGTTGGAAGGCACTAAACATGTGACAAGCACAGTCAACTTCAACATTGTCATGCCCATATCTGTATATTATACATGAGTGCAGGGGCACCTGGCAACGGTGATGTGCAAATGTCAAAGAGAGACCCGTTAATACTATTATATATATATATATTGTTCTTCTTTGTCTCACCCCAACCCATCCGTTTTCACCTTTACTGTACGTGCGTGACTTGCGACCATGTGGAGGGAGGTGAGTTAGTTTAACAGCTAGATGCGTGCCATCAACAACCTTGACGTTTTCAAAAGATGGTAGTGCAAAAAATGATCAATCAGAAACAAGACTATCAACACCATAGAAATCACGATGAACGGAATAAAAATGCGAGTAAAAGTAGATGTCAGCAGCTGGGTACAACTGTTGTTGCGATTTGAAGGGCACAATTGCATACATAGAACAGACGAGTCATTTTGTGCGCACGTCTCACCAAATCCTGTACAATTGTGGAGTAAATAATAATAGCACAGCTCAGCTGATTCTTGCGCAACCCCGTAGAGATATCCAAGTATGCGGGAATAGGTCACTGCCCCCCCTATCATGACTAAGGTCATCGTATCCAGAGCAATTGCCAGTGTTGTTGCCACAAGTCGAAGTGCAGTGTAAATCGAAAACGTTAGTGGCAACCGCATTCGAAGGGAGTGAGATGCCGTCATACCGCTTGCTACTAGGCTGATAATGCTAGCAAATGTCACCGAGAATGTATATTCCCTCACGTAGCCATATATCACCAAAGATGGTGCCGTCGTGAAGGAGTACACTGAAAATGCAAGCAGCAAGAGTGCTACGAACATTTCAAGTACTGCAAGAGAAAATGTTTGGGCAGGAATACGTGTAAGGAAAAGAATACCTGTTGAACGGAATAATCGATGGGAAGATTCATACGCGTTTAAAAGATTTCTTCTGCTAATGAGTGAGCGTTCAGCGGCCTTTGCTATTTCCCTTTCCGTCTTAATAAGATATGTTAACTCCTGCTTGGCAATGCTGAGAAGTAATTCATCATCAATTTCCTTACAGCTGCATCTCCACTCAATAAAAGGACGCAAATTCATGTTGCGTGGATTGTTTCTTTGACTAGTATGCACGAGATAGCGCCGAACAAACATTCGCAAGCATTGCATATCAAAAAATTTCCGTGAGGGGTCTTGAAAAATGGAGTAAAATGACCACGGTGGATCCTGCCCAAAGACCACATCATGAATACGGCGGCGCGAAAAAGTCATGTATGGCACCGGTCCCATAGTTCTTGTACCCAGTAGACGGTTTTGACGTGTCAGGGGCTGTTCTGGCTCTGATTCTTCCGGATTTTCTCGTGCGTCTTGAGAGACAAGAACATTGCAATCAAAACCCTGTGCATCATGATGTACCTCCCCATTGCTATTGGACCCACCAGTCGGGGAAAAATGCATCATTTCCGCACTCCCAAGCAATGCTCCAGACTCATGCTGATCACCGTCACGATACCTTCCCCCCTCAGCGTCTTTCTTATGCGCCTTTTTCTCTGCATGGAGCCTCTCCTGATACTTTGCAAAGTCTTCTTTCGTGTATCTATGCACCTGAAGCAATACCACCGTGTCTTTAGTAATCATTGCTACCACTCCTTCATAGTGTAATAACAACCGCTGACCCTCAACAGTGGTCTCGCCGAGAAAGGTCACACAACGGCCAATAATTTTTAGCTCTTGCGCACGTAATACAGGCAAATTTGAACATGGTTCATCCAGCTTGATTTCAACCCGGTCCACAAGTTCCTCAATGGTGGCACCCTCCATAATTTCCACTTGCGCAAGAAGATTACCCCTGGACCCATCCTCATTTATATTCCCATTCTCACGGTTATCGGCTTGCCACTCATCCCCATCAGCTTCGCCATGCGTGATCCTGTCTGGCCCTCCTGGGGCCCCGGCCGATACCTCTGACAACACATGTTCTTCGGTTGAATGGTCACGCCGCGGCATCCTGGAGACGTAACGTAGCCAAAAATTCCGGCTCCTGCCTCCCTGTCCCCTACACGCCTATGTTGTGTCGTGTTGCCTTAATGCGAATCCCGTAGGCTCTTCGTTCCCGCAGGAAAAAAAAATAATCAGCAAATAAAAAGAGTCGCCAATGAATTTTAACCTCTTCAGCTTGGGAGGGAGTTATTATTATTTTTTGTTTCTCTAACGAAAAGAAAAATTGCAAGTAGTTTCGTGCACGAAGGTAAATAGCGATGGAAAAACAAAAAGAATGCCCGTTCACCGATGAGCAAAACATGTTGGGTGATCTGCCGGAGTTACGTAGACAACTTTGCACCATCTGCAGCTGCCTCAGAGCAGACGCATGCAGCACACACGCGGAAACAGAAAGAGAGAAGCCTAAACGGAAAGAAAAACAACACCAACACCACCAAGCAGCACGTTTCTCAGACCTTCACCCCACCCACTCAAAAAACAAAGGAAAAAAATACGCCTCATCCAGAGACAAGCGTTGTACACTGCTTCTCATCCATTCCCTCTCCTCTCCTAGCCCTCAACAAAAGTCACAACGCAAGTGAACACATGGAAGAAAAATTGAAAAGAAAAAATAGCACATGGTCCCTCGCAATAGTCACACAAGTCAAGAAAAAAATGACAGCGTCAAACGAATTCGCGTCTTCTTGATCCTTCATCCTCGTTGATTTGTCCATATTTATGTGGAATAATTTCGTATCGAGAGGAAGAATGCACAAACAACTCCTTGCACGTATGCCTGTGCATACAAATATATATATATATATATATATATATATATATTAATCTGCTTGCTGTTTCTCCTTATCGCTGTTGTAACTTCCTCATTTTCACCTTCTTTTTGTTGTTGTTGTTGCATCACCTTACACTAATTAACGCAATATTACGCGTGCTGAGGTAAAAGCAGCGGTGCAGGAAGAAAAGAAAGAGGCGGCGATACTGTGAATTAATAGATAATTAAAAAGTACGGCGCGCCCAAGGTGTGAGGAAGAAACCGCCCATAACCAACGAAACAAACGGCATGATGCATCGTTCACAGGCACCCAATCCCCATTGCTGTGTTTTTTTGTTTTGTGTTGTGTGTGTGTGTGTTCAGAGGTAAAATGCGATGCGTTTCCCTCATCTTCCCTCAATCCACTTTATTTTGTAGTCGTGTCAACAAAGAACCTCATCCCTTTTTATGCCTCTTATTATTATTATCATTTCCCCCCTCTTGGGTACCTGCACATGCCATGTTTCTTCTGTTTTATACCTTCTTCGCCCCTCACCGTCACTAATTAACCATCAATCATCGCCGACTAAGAGCTTCTGCACCAGTTCAAATACAACAAACATGGATGTACTCGCGGGGATCACCTTTAAATAGTTTGCCGTAAGGCCGGAAAAGAGCGACGCCACTCCTTTCCCACGAACCATCTTTATGAAGCAATCCACCATTCCCTTGTACTTTATCTCCCGCCCGTTTATGCCCTGTGTCTGCAGCCTTGTGCGCACGACATTGAGTGGGTACGTCATGGTCTGCGCAATCACAGAGGCCACCATGCCCACACCTGCCGTCTCCATATAAGAAAGCGCCGCGTCGTGGCGGTTCATTCCGTACTTATGCATCCTGTACATCATGATCTGTTGTTGAGCAGTGGAGTAGATTCCCACCTCCAGCCCACGATAAAGGAACACCCCTACCATATTGGGGGTGAATCCCCGATAGAACTCAGCAATGCCGCCATTGCAGTACGTTGCCGCTACAACCTCGCGAATTCCACCACAAAATTCCGTCATTTTTGAAACAGCGATGCGCGTTTTGACGACTTCTAGAGGATAAAGTGTGAATTGAGCCCCAAATCCAGCACAGGCCCCAATGCCAAAGTTAACAAATATGCGGGGAACACCGGTTAAGGTTCCATAGCGATCAAAAGGTCGAGGTAACACCGAGACTCTGGAGGGACCAATTTCCTTGCTACGGGAACTCAACCCCTGCGGTGTCAACTCCAGCTGTCGTCGTTCCTCCTCTACACCGTCTTCATACAGCGATAGAAGGTATCGACGAAGTGAAAAACACAATAGCAAACTCTGGACCCGCCTTAAGACAATTCACACCATTACCACGCCAAAACGCGCGCCAACCTCCATCCGCCCTAATCAAATTAAAGACATCCTTCAACCGAGCTGATTTAAAGCTATATATCCTTTGATACGGTCCTGTAACCAAGTGGCCCTCCTGCACAATGATCTTGATACGATCTAACGGTGCAGTCAATGATCGACTGCAAGCACCAGCTACCCCACCGGCAAAAAAGGTGGCAAGTGTAGTATATCGATCTCTTTTAAAAAGCAAATGCTGTTCACCAGACTTTTCTGATAACAGCAACTGTCCGTCTTTAGTCTCCGCCCCTACATTGGTGCTAAGTGTCGAACTCTGGTGCACCTTCTGAATTTGCATTCGCGCCCCCACGTCACCTTTGACGTTGCAAAATGGATCCTTCTCCTGAAGGTGCCCGTAGTTGGTGGTATCTGCCTAAACGTGACAGTCAGACAAGTAATCGTGTGTGTGTTTGTGTGTGTGTAATGAATGTGCCTTCCTTTTTTATCCTTCTTTTTCTTCCCGTACCGTTTGGATGGCGTGGTCTGAAAACCAAAACAATATAGCAACAACAAGATCAGCTGTTAGTAGCAGTTGAAACACAAATTGGGTGGCAGCAATTGTCCTGGAGCCCCTTTCTTTCCTTTTGCTCCTTGTTTCCTTTGTGAGGGAGCACCTCCCTTCTCACCGCCAAACCTTTCTTTCCTTTGGATGAATGTTGCGTGTGTCCTCTGTGCAGTAAAAGAGCTTTGTTTTTTTTCTCCCCCCCTCCCTCCCTCCTCTCAATGTGAGTGCGTGTGCTCCACCCCACCGAGCCTTCGCTGCAATTGTGTCAACATGTGCAGGGGAAAAAAGAAGACCGAAGTGGAAAATAGCAGCATTAGGAGCCAGTAGGTGGCAACAAAGATGCAGGAGGAGCACACAATA